AGTAGTTGTAGTTTTTTAAAATAGGTAAGCTGATTATTTTAGACTTGCAGTACACTCTCGGTTCCTATTGATCGTAGCGTACTGTTTTATAGTTTGATAGCCTATACTACTCCTTAATAAATCGATTATCCGACACACAAATAATTATTCACTTCAAACCAGTAATTCCGGAGATTTGAGCGCGTCCAAACAAACAAACTCTTCAGTTGTACAGTAATAATATGGATGTATCAATATAATATATTTGGATTGATGAAACAACTCAATCAGTCTTACTTTACTTACCTATCTACTGAAACAACTGAATAGTTTTAGGTAGGTAACTCTACAAAATTTTATTCCGTAGGTATGCCTAGATGTGCTTGTTGTTGATGTTATTTACTATATTTAATAAAACCTTTTTTATGGGATACAGCGGTAAAATAGTAGACGGATCACCTGATGGTAAACAATCGGCGTCGCCCATGGATACCTGGAGGCGTTGCCGGCCTTTTCAGGATGAGGAATATGAGGATTACTGGGAGGATTCGGGGATTGGGGAAGGGGGGCTGGTGATAATTGGGTGTCCTGTAATCTCACTCACACAACGAAACACAACGCAAGCGTTGTTTCACGTCGGTTTTCTGTGAGGCCATAGTATCACCCCGGTCGAGCCGGCCCATTCGTGCCGAAGCATGGCTCTCCCACACTGAAATTACACTACAGCTTAGGAGCTGTAGTGTAATTTCAGTGTTAGTGGTTAAGGTAAGGTAGTGGTTAAGGTAACATAATAAATGAGTCACTTACATTTAAAGAATATGAGCGACGACAGGACAATAACGACTCCATATGGCTTCATAATATTTGATTGCGATCACGTTCAACCACGCTTACGACTCATTAAATTACAATAAAGATTTATTCAACTGTTCAACAATTTACATTAGCAAACATCACTTCACTTGCTACAATTACTATTTCGCCCACAATTTACGAGTTTGCTGATAATCATTTTAGACGTTACGTTCAAACTGGTACTATTATGTAAGGCACCACTGACAGTCAAGGTGCGTCTTCCACTGCACACTCAGAGCGAAGGACCTCCGTCCGTCCACTAGAGTGATGAACCACTTGCGCAATTACATACAAAACGTTAAGTTACACAAATTTCGGCCGCACCTGAACAAATATCCCACTTGTACAACTTCTGATTATAAATTTCAACACGGAAATATATTTAAGAATTGGTAGGTACCAAGACAAATAAAACCGCAGGTACTTAATTTGTTTTTGAGCCCACAAAATATAGAGCAATATGTATGTACTATAAAAATTCTATACGCGGGTAAAATGATACGACACGTCCAGGGTGGCGAACAAGTGAGGAACTCGTGCGCAATGGGTGTGCGGCGCAGATGGGTACGGTCGTGACAGCGCGGCTACTGAAACTATGAAGTGCAGCCGTCATTTGCCGCCGGCCCCCACTTTACCAGGTATACGTCGCCGGCACGACCTTGCAGTTTATTATTATGGGTTTACAGACTACAATTTACAATAGAGTGACGAGTCAACGTCGAACGATAGTGAAAACGATAATAATGACGTTAGGCGCCCGCAACGACGTATTTTGTAACAGCCGCCGATACAGGCCAATTTATAGAAAACATAGATATGGTAAAGTTGGCACGTTACGTGCTATTTCCCTGAGACGTATATAATTTTCACAAATCGTCGGATATTTCACAAACATCCGTCAAAAGGATGACTTCTTAATTCGCGGACACAATATGAATGGACCCATACATCCTCCGACAATGATGGCTTAGTCATTATGCGCCCAGGTTTTGACTATTGCGTTACTATTCAGTCACGAAAGCATGTACCTATGTATGTACTTATTTTGAAGAGATATATTCGTGGTGTACCTACCTGCCTGGCGATAAATATTGCACATGGACTACCGCTGGCATACTGCTCATGATAATGCTAAAACTTGAACAGTCGAGTACTCTCCTTGAATCATACAGTTCTGAAAACAAAGGTTTTGTACAAAACGAGGTTAAACAGATACGTATGTGTAATATTTATCGCCGGATACTGTATAAATACATAGTACGGATTTACTAAATTACTGCATACAACTTAATGATTTCTGACCAGGATTCTAAATACAAATCAAAATAAGAGAAGCCCAGTCCCTACTCGACCTAGAAAAGCAATCTGTTATGTTAATTCAGTAACATTCATTGTATTGTTATGTAAATAGTGTTTGGACGAGTCGTGGTACCGAGGCAACTTGATAATACGCCAAATACCAACATTACGTCTACATAATGCGGCTAACACATTGTGTACGTAGGTAGGCACTGCATGGCCCTTACAAGACAATCATCATTTTTTTTTAATACCAGTGATTACATGGACGATCGTTTACATTATTTCAACCTCCTCGCAATTTTCCTATGCATTGCCTTATTATGCAATTTTCCTGTACCTAGCTAGGTAGATCGTGAATAAATGTTATCTACTTTGCATGTTTTACTGCTGACTATAGACAAAAACTGAAGGCAATTATGCATTGTTATAGTTTGTATTTATTATGTTCAACGTCTTCACTCTTTTATGAAGCCGCTAACCGTTTCTAATTTGCTCGTTGCTTTGTATAATAACGTTGTAGTAGATAAATCTTATGATGAGTTTATAGTCAAAATATCGACAACTTTTTACTATTCAGAATATTAGAATTTTGAATGAACGAGAGAACATCCTCTGCAACAAATCTGTAGTAATAGAGTAGGTAAGTGATTTTTAATCATCATGCAATTCTTTACCGACTTCTAAACTTATTTACCGTTCGTTGATTATTTTAATCCAATCGAATACGAGACTGTTCGATCTTTAAAATTTTGTCGGTTTTGTATATTGCTTTGATATTTTTCTTAAAAATGCCTCAAAGAAAAAACAAAAACCTTTTTGCATAATGCTCCGGGTAATTCAACCGCTAATATAGCATAGAGGAAAGCATTAACGTCATCAACTAGATACAAAAATTACCAAATAAAAATATACTATAGTCAGGATCTTTATTGGGAAAAAAAATACTATACCACTGTGGAGTTCATATGTATATAGCCCACTGTTATCTAAACGATGTTGTTTTGTTTTCGACAACCACGCGAACTCGCGTGCTCAGCTAGTCGAATATAAGTCAGTAGATACTAATCTAAGACCCAAGAATAACTTGAACAAATCTAACCAATGCTTTTATTTAAAAATACCTTTGCACACCTGTAAATTATGTTTTTGCGTCATGTTAATTACCCGCCTGACAGCGCTATGATAAATTATAAAGATCTTCAAAGTCACATAACATATTATTTATACATTTTATACTACATATACCTATACAATAAACAGACTACCGTGGTCTAGTAGCTATAATGTAACGTGACTTCTAACTTCATCCTTATAAGGTTGAAATTTGTATTACATCTCTACTACTCACAGCTGTTAATAATGTTGACACATGCACTTCACACTTTGTGTTCCGAGTACCAGGTTGATACAGTTTGCGGAAACTGATATTTATGGCGTAGTACTAAGGTACATTTTACAGTGAGAGGTTGTAAAAATAGTAATAGGGATTCACAATAATACAAACTAGAACTTTCAAAGCATATATTTCATAATCACGCGATATGCTCAAAAATTTACAATTTTTATAATATTGTGCTCATAATTTTACAACAAACTTGTGCTTTATTCGTTCTATAATTTATAATATTTCCACGCACTCAAGCAGCAAAAAGGCTGTGTATATTTTACAAAATAAATGTCAGGTACTTCGAACAATACTTTGGTTGAATTTCAAACAACTTGTTACTTGTTAAATTCCTTAATTAATTTGATAGTTAATTGGTGAATAATATAAATGTACTGATAAACATGGTAATGTTTTAAATCTAAGATTTTTGGGATCTCTAAATACTAGAACAATCTATTGTCAAATATGAACTTTTATTGTACCATGTAAGCTTGATACTGATAGATTATAGGTAGCCTCATACATTCAGATCAATCAATGCATTCGCATTTGCATTGCTTTAAAACAATATGTCCAAAAATATTAAATATATCCTTACGTTTGGCAATAACATATTGAGTAATGCAGTCAACCCATTTGTAAATACTTGTCTCTTTAATACACAACTTAGTGATATTTCATGACGTACTTTTACTTCACAACCCATTACACTATCTGTTATTCGTAGCTACTGACTATGTTAGTAACATAATTTAACAACAAATGTATTTCAATCAATAACAAAAAACACAAAAAAATAACGAAAAGCTTTCACCATAATGAAAAAAGCAATAAATGGGATTTACCACAATCAGGTACGCGAAAAATAATATTTGGCTAAGTAAGCTGACTGCGATTCGTATGGCAACACGTTTGACTTGACGTTCCACAGATTAATTGTGAAAGTTCACTCTACTATTGTAGGTAGGCTTGGCAAAAAAGAGTTTTACTCGGTGACAGCTGGAACTAATATTAACTTGGACTGAATCGCCCACTTCGGACCATATCCTAAGAATAAACAAGCATGGTAAGGTACTCAATACTCATAGCATTGAGTACCTTCTCTTTTTAAACTGTCAAACACCAAGCGGTCACCGGTGACCGCAATTGTGTCTATAATGACGGTACTCGACGAGTTAAACTGGATAAAAATAACAACAACAAAAACCGGCTGAGTCGTGGTGTTGCATGTTGCCACAGATACGATACTAGAGACCTCAATTATTCCAAACTCTTTTTTGCAAAACTCTAGTTACAATTGTAGTAACATTTATTTACATACATTTTGGTATCTTTTCAATTTTATGTAACAACATTTTACAATTTCTTAATATTTATGTCCGTTTTGGATTTTTTTACATTTTTAATTGTATTTATTCGAGTATACGCCAAAAACAAGACAGGTCGTTATTTAAAAATATATGTACCTACATGTCAAGGGATTCTATTTGTGCGTTTCGGACAACAAAATATTCGAGGATCGAAATCATAATGTTGTGATGTTTTTGTGCTTTTTCTAATGTGAACTTGCAGAACAATCTTTAGTACGTTACAGCGTGGAGGACCATAGAATTGAGTAATACTAATTGGTGGGTATGCGGTCCCTTAGGTAGGAGAGTACGGAGGCGGTGCCCTTAGCGAGTATGGCGTGCCGCGGCTGTCGGAAACAGTTCCCCATCAACTCCAGGGTTCTGAAACAATGGAATTATTCTAGAATACAACAGAATACGCAACGATTGTTTGTTTAAAACACTAACTTTTCAATGCATAATGAAAAACCGGCTCATGACGTATCATAACACGGAATACTTCCCTTTTATTAACGTTCTTAGTTTATTATAAACACATGTGACACAAATGACAACAATCGATGTTGGAATGTCTATACTAAAAATTAGTCTAGTCTATTATTACGAGACTATCTTATTAGTCGAATCTTCCAAAGTGCGTTTATCAAGCAGATAGTATCGAAATAGATTTTTGGGAACCAAAATATTTTTATTATCTGCCTACGTATATTATTTATTTATTCTTCGAAACTTTGGCTATGTAGTAATGAGCAATATTGGGATAGAGAAGTTTTTTTAACGTTTTTTTTCAAGCACTACACTGCCGATAAACTTAAAATAGACGTTATATTTTATTTTGTAAAATAGATTAATTAACTAACTCACCTGGCCTTTCAATTGGTTGGTTTCTTTGTATTTCCAAAATAATATATTATTTTTAACTAATCTGCTAGAACGCAGGGCTAACCGAAACACGATGATTTTTTGTTTTGTATAACAGACACAGTCAAGATGTTAATTGTTTTATTTTTGTATATTTCTAGGTAGTTTATTTATGACAAACTATATGTAGCGTAGAAGATCTCACAAAAATTTTCACGTTACGAGTCCGCAGTTTTCAGTGGGAACAAATCTATTGCCATAAATCAAGCAAAATTACAGATTACATACTATCACTTAACTTTGGAATTCCACAAAGGTAACTTATACTTTTTCCGATTTAGAAAATGGAACCTAGAACTTCCCGGCAGTCGTACTTCCGAACACTTGATCAACGAGGCGGGCAGTGGGGAGAAACTCATCTACATGCACGAAGCATTTCGCCCCAAGTTTTTTGATCAGAACAGCTAAAGAATGTAACTCTTTACCAGAGTCTGTGTTTCCTGAAGGGTATAATTCAGGTGACTTCAAGGCCCGAGCGAAAAGGTTGTTTATGTGCAGGGGTGCTCCATTGTATGCTGCATCTCGGCAACCCAATCCCGATATAAAACAGAAGCATCTCAATGAACCGCCTGCCCTGTAAGCTGGCGACTGGACTGACCTGAGATGTGTGAAGTGTCCCAGTTCCGGAGGCACGGTGAAGATGTTGTTGTTGGAGAGGTCGAGCACGGCCAACTTGTTGAGCCGCGCGAGTGCGTCGGACGACACGTTGATCTCGTCGATCTTGTTCTCGGCCGCCAACAATATCTCCAAGTTGTCCAGCTCGTACACACACCGGGGTATCTTCGTGAACCTACGATAATATAAATGTTTACATAACGTAGCAGGGTGTCTTGTAAAACAATGCTTGTGGTATGGTGACACGAGCTCCGCATAAAATAAATCTTTAGTTCTCTGGTACGCTATTATAACTCATAGTATATTTATATTAGTTATTACCTGGCTAATTTAATAATAAAAAATAATCTGTCGATAGATTTGCATCTCAAGTTCACCATCATGATCTGCATACATTTTACTTAGTCAATATAATTATTTATTTATGTTAACTGAAATACGCACTTATTATTAGATATGACTAGTTCTCGCAAGTTCTTCAAATCGCCGAGTGCCGGCGGCAGTTCCATGAGGAGGTTCTTGCCGAGGTCCAAGTATTGCAAGTGTCTGCATCGGTTGATGTCGGCGGGGATATTGGACAAGTTGTTCGACGCCAACACTAGCGACGACAGGGTGTCACTCACTTGTACTAGGCTGCAAATAAACATATGCTTGCTTAACAATTAACATTACGCGTTTTCATCCAAAAAGTGGAGAGCAAAGGAATGTAACACCTACTTTTAACGAATTAAGTTCTAAATCCCATGGAAGTGTGGGAGAGCCATGCTTCGGCACGAATGAGCCGGCTCGACCGAAGTGATACCACGGCCTCACAGAAAACCGACGTGAAGCAACGCTTGCGTTGTGTTTCGTCGTGTGAGTGAAGTTACCGGAGGCCCAATTACCCTCCCCTTTCCCAATCTCCCCAATCCCTGAATACCCAACGATCCTCAAACTCCTAATCCCCAAAAAGCCGGTAACGCACTTGTAACGCCTCTGGTATTCCAGGTGTCCATGGGCGACGCCGATTGCTTACCATCAGGTGATCCGTCTGCTCGTTTATCGGCTTATGCCATAAAAAAAGTGGTTTAATAATTGTCATAGCCAGCAAAAAGTCAGTGTCAATGTAAAAATATTTTATATCTGCGTAACGCACAGGGTAAACAAAATGTTATTATGAAAATATATTAGGTCCTACAAACGTAACTACTTACTTAATGTTATTATTACTTATTGTACTAAGTTATGATTACATATTATGGTTATGACTTATGACTTACCCACGGGGTACTTCAGTGAGTTTGTTTTTAGAGAAGTCGACAATATGTACTTCTGCCTCGGCCGCCGCTTTGAACACATGGTCCGGTACGTTCGTCAGTTCCCGACCAGGCACCATTAAAGCTTGACTTTTCTTCAGTGTATATCTAAAACAAAAAAGATTTGTTAAACAAACCTCAACAGTAAACCCAATAGATACTACATTAAAGTCCAAAATACACAACGAATTATCCTAAAACTTGTTAAAATTTGTAACACACAAAATTGAATTCTATTAGTAACAGGATAAGGTTGAAAGTACTAATGTGACTGTTTATTGAAACAGTATTGAAATTCTACCTATTCATCAGTCATTGTGAACAGTGTATCAATCGGACGTTGGATTTAGACCTTTACAGTCCATTCATTAAAGTCAAGGACTTTAAAAGTGTATTCATTTTGATTCTATAGGAGCATTGTAATAATAACACTCCCAAATCACAGAGGTTAATCTTAAATGGAGTTAATGGAGCAGCCAACTGAATAAATATATTTTGTTTTAAATGAAGTGACTAACAGCCATATACATTTGGGTACAAAGAAAACAGAGTCATTTTAAATAACTTTAAAAAAATCTCATACAACAAAATGTTCTTAGTTTAAAAGTAACTAAATTGCATTTTGTAGGACATACGTTACCAATTAATACAATACTTATATTAGAAAATATTTATCACATAACATAACATCACGCCTTATTATCCCCGAAGAGGTAGGCAGAGGTGCACATTACGGCACTTAATGCCACTGTAGAATCAAATGTAACACCCACTTCTCACTATTTATGTTATGAGTGCAGGTGAGCCTATTGCCATACACCGAGTACAATTCCAGACTCCGTGCTACTACTGAGATTTTTTTAGAAAAAACTCATTAATATTTTACCCGACCCGGGAATCGACCACTCTGCCAACGAAGTAGTCAGAAAATATTTATCAAGAAATAAATATACACGGTAGTGGTTCCGTTTCTTTGCTATAAGTGTTGAGTGTAGGTAGAATTAGGTAACGTAGATAGTTACTTTCATACTGTACTCGTATTTCTCATATTGACTTGATGTGTTAGGTAGGTAAGAGCCTATTGCTATATCAATAGAGTAGCTACCGTTTTATTGTTCCCAGGTGGCGTTAATTTCGACCTGGTCGTCCAAATAGATGAGTAGTTAGTGCAAAACCATTGACCATAAGCCTTATTGGCGCTAGCGAGTTAACAGAAGAACGGTCCTATGTAACGAAGACGTAGACTCACTTATCAGGCCATTCCTCAGGAGTGAGCCTAGTCTCACTGACGACTTCATCAGTGATGCGGTCTCTGAGATACTTCATCATCCTCTCCGTCCCTCCTCTGATCACGTCCTGCCTCACAAACGACAACTTGTTGCCCTCCATGTTGATGCTTTGCAACTGAGATAACAACCCCAAGTTCCTTGGTAACCTGAAAAATTATTATATATCAATACATTTCACATAGACCGGACAGTAACTCTGTGAAACCTGATGTAGAGTAGATCCCTAATGTAGCATAGTGTAGCTGTGAACTGTCCCGGAACGTTAATGTGAAATTAAATTAAATTAAGTTATAATTAACTTGTTAATTGAACTTTTTGGCTGGCGACGGCGTTAGCAGAGGAGTAAAAACAGCCACCGTGGATTCAATCATAGCATTACCGCAGTTTCGAAAATCTCTAACTGGCTCTTAGAAGATTTGATATCCTTCTTCGTAAATGTTTTAAACCAATTATACTCACTAAAGCAGTAATAGTAGATGTCAGACCAAACCATTTTATAAGCTCTAACCTAATATCCTAGGTAAATATTTATAAAGTCTTAAAATCATCTCTTACAATTTAAAATACTAACTTATTCAAATTATTGTTAGTAAGGTCCAGCCTCTTCAGTTTCTGCAGCAGTGAGATGTTCTCAGGCAACACTTCTAATTTGTTGTCCCTGATGTTCAACACATTCAAATGCTGCATCTGATCACAGAACTCTTCTGTTATCTCCTGTAACAAAACAACAATGTATGTATGTACATTTGCACAAAACTGCAGAACGACTGCATCAATTTAAATAAGATAAATGGACTAATATTCTTGAAACGTCAAAGAAAAAAATGTCAGGTGCATTCCTTGACCTTTCTGAATAATTATTATGCAAATAAACGATTATTTATTAAAGTCAAAGTCACTACCGCCTTGTTTGTGGCGAGAGGGAGTATAAGACTCTTACTGACTAAAAACCACCCCGTTTTTATTACTTCCACTGTCCTGTCATGGTACCTGAATATGAGGTCCTCAAAAGGAGTAAAAATGTACTTTTTTATTACATTTTCAAATTCTCCATCTGCACATTGTCTTGAAAGTATAAATAAAAAGTACCTTAATATAATTATTGGCCATATATAATTCTTTAAGGGCTGCACAGCCGTAAAAGTCGGGTAGTTCTTCAATGTCGTTATGATTCGCATCCAGTACTTCCATTTTTCTCAGTTCGCCTAGTGGTGGTAACTTCTTGAGATTGTTGTTGCTAATATTCATTTTTCTCAGATCTGAAACAAGATTCAACTACCTAATTAAAAACAACGTCTTTACTTATACCCTTGGGAGTATAGAAACGAAGCCACTACCTTTTTTAAATGTTATCGAATACTATAACTTAACAAATATTCCTTTTTCAACAAAATGTTCTCATTTTAAAAGTAACTAAATTGCCCTATATACGACATACGTTACCAATTAATAAAATACTTGTATCGCAATAATATTTATCAACAAATGAAAAAGATAAATATTATAAGGATATTAAAAAAAAATAGTAGCTCCGTTTCTTTACTCACAAATGCATTTGTGAAAAACTCTACTAGTTTCAAGTCATAACAGGAGTCTTATTTAAAACCAGCGTGCGCTGTGCGGTGACGTCATTAGTCACAGCCGTAATGCATTTTATTTTCGCATACAAAGTGATTGATCTCAATAATATTAGAACAAGCAGTACCAAGTCACATACTGAACATCTAGAATCGAACTTAGGAACGAAAACTTTCATGATAGATAAGTAGTCACGTCACGAACGAGTAGTCAGTCATGCAATATAATCAAAACAATAATTAGTCACGTAGCACTAAGACAACACATTATAATGATGTACTCTCTACCGGCAAGTTGGTAATCAAACTTAATTACACAACTGTAACAGTGATAAAATTCTTTACAAAGTTGTGTTTTCTAAAATGACTTTAATTCACATAGAACCAAAGGTTCATATCGGATTGAAACTTTTTAGATTTTTACTACTAATAATAATAATGTGTGATGATAATCAGTTTTTCAAAAAGTTTCTCTATTTGCACTGAGATAAGAATGATATTTGCTTGCCAATGTAAGAGTTATGCATTGGACAAGAGATTTAATGCTTATAGAATAACGAAATTGTTTTTGACAATTGGAGCTGTAAACATATTCAATGTTTCTTTTGTGTTATTAGGAGTCAAAATTGCAATGATAATACAATAATAGTGTTATGAAACTCAGTAGGTACAAACATCGTAATTTACTGTACTATTACAAGTTTGACAAATCTATACCACTTATATTACTTCAATGTAGAATAATATAATAATCAAATAGGTACATACCTCTGAGGTTAACAATATCAGGAGGAAGCTCTTCTAGCTGATTGTGTGACAGATTAATTTCTACTAATCTCACCAAATAGCCCATACCTGGAGGTAGTATTGTCAGTTTATTGTGCGATAAGTCCTGGAAACAAATATTACTCTAATTATTGTAAATATTACACAACAACCTTGAAAAGCCCTTTACATTCTTCAGTACTCATTTTCTGCAAAGAAAGCTATATTTATTTAACACGGAAGTTGAAAAAAAGGTTGAAACAAAGACTGTGGGCTACTATAGACTTACAAAATACACATACATTGACAGTAAGGACATCTATCGCGTGACAATATGACTCGTCACGTCATGCACTCATAAATATACCACTGACATTTTGGTGTTTCAATAAGTTCCAAGTTTATACATCCACCTTTTTTTCAATGTCCTTGTACAAGATAAACTTAGCAAAGAGTTTCTTACCAAAAAGGTCAGCATAACAAAATCTCCAAAGTCGGCTTCTATTTTCGAAATCTCATTGTGGGATATACTCAGCCAGCGTAATTCAGTTAACTTATAAAACTCTTTGGGGAGTGCTGTCAGTTTATTGTGCGCCAAACTTAGAGTCATCAAATTCTTTAGCTCACCAAACTCCGGCGGAAGACTAGATATTGCATTATCATGTAGCTGGAAAGAAATAAAAGTATTCTAAAATTATTTGTAAATAAATTTTAATTTTATTTCTTTCCAGGAATTGAACCTGCAGCAGTGATTGGTAATACCTCTCTCTTCTACAATTTCCACAGTCCTATATAAATAAAAAAAAATATAAATCTAAGTTCATAATTTTGAAACAAATAACTAATAAGTCAAGCATTAAACTGTCAAACACCGAGTGGTCACCGGTGACCACAACCTATTGTTCTTTAATTGTGTCTATAATGACAACGAGTTAAATAATAAATAGTTGCAAAATTAATAAAACAGGTATATGAGTAATATAAAAACAGAAATATATTATCATTGAATTTTATTTCTCACATGAAACATTAATAGAGTTGGCTAATATGAGAGGCAAATGAAAGGCACAGAGTGTACAATATTTAAATTGATGTACTTGGTTAGTATTGCAAATGAAATCACCAGTTTTTGCTATGTGTATAAAATTATATAGAGTAGTAAGTAATTAGTTGTAAAATTAAATAATTAATTGCAGTTTCTCACTCACCTTGAGATTGACGAGGTGTTGCAGATACTTGACATTGCCAGATATAACTTTAATAACATTGGAGCTAAGGTCAAGGGTCTTCAAAGGCTCTGCTGTCCACCACTTGTTGGAATCAGGCCTCGTGAAGTCCACCTCTTTGCTCTCATCCAAAATCAACTCATCAATTTTCCAAACATTATCTGGCACTGAAAAAAATTTGAATATGAAATATTTATCTCCAAAACATTTTACTACACAATTTAAAATAAATAAGCTTGACAAATACAATTAGTAAGAAATTCTTCTAAATATTAATCAGTTCCAATTCCTTTCTAAATAAATAATGTACCTATGCATTCATAAATAGCTAGAAAAAAGGTGAATTTTTTATATTCACATCAATAGAATAATGACATACGATATTTTTTAAAATAATATAAACAAATAACAATGAGCCTAGAGGATGTGAGTCAAACAAATTGTATGGTGTTTATTAAGGAACTATACCACATACGCTGTTTATTGCTATAGGTGCCAAGGTAGGTACTTAAATTTATTAAATAATTACGTCTCACCCGTCCCCAGTCCCCTGTTGCATAAACTGAGTTGGCCTGTCCTCTTCGCAGATTTAATCAAACCCACTGATAATTCATTTTCGTCTGCCTTTTTATCTTGAAGATGAAACACAGATTTATTACATACTTTAATACGTGACTTAGAATGCGGCCTGTTCGACATTATTTTTAATTTATCACAGGAGTGCACTTTATTTTATTACTGAACTACTGAAGCGAAATCATTATTGTTTTTGTTGAAGTCGACATATAAGCAGGCATACACACTGACAAATATTTTTTTTTTCTTTCCTTAGAATAGCGCTGATAACACATGGCATGTTTAATCACATTTTGCCCGTTAAAACAATTGTATATGCTTCAATACAAATAATTTCTTTATCAATATTTTTTATAGACATAAATTTCTATCAAATACTAATACAAATCAGTAGATCAAATCCAATCGGCTTACATTACAAGTTTACAATCATTTATCATGTACTAGAGTCCATTTCACGAAAGAAGTCCCGCAGACGCAGCGCTGTATTCGCGCGACATAATGTTGCCACGGTTAAATTTATATAGTATGGGGAAATTAGGGGAAATCAGGAGAGAACAGTTCGAGGAATATTTTAAAAATAATGTCTTTTTATATAGGTATTTATGTTTATACTGCTAAGGTCAGATTAGTGAAAAATTAATCTTCCTGTAATTTCTAAAATATAAAATGGAAATAAAGATGTTCAACCAACATCAAATTAGAAACATAAAATAACATTTAAAAAGTTTTATTAAAGTTTTATTGAATAATTATGATCGGTCATACTATGATCACTGTCAGAAGAGTGAATAGAAACAGAATTAGATTCTGTTTCATTATCACTAGCCGTAGATATAATAAATCGATGCATTTCTTCATCCATAAGACCATCATTTTTTAAATATTCTTCCTCCAAATGCTGTACATGTTTGCATTGAACTGCCCAATCTTCCGCTGTAACAGTCTCGAACGCCTCTTCTGTTAGGCGTACAATTTCTTTTGGATCTTGGCCCACGTTTTTAACCGCTACCCGTCTGTTTATAACACACGACTCTCCGACACACCTGCAATAAAATGAACAATTAAAAAAAATCTAACAGTGACTTTTTCCGCATTTAATTATATTATTGTTGAATACAATTTTACAAATTTTTGTTGTGTTATGTTAATTCCTCATTAAAAAAACTTAAGTCTAATTGGTAAAAAATATGTTTAATATGGCAGCCCCAAAATTTACCTGTTATGGCGGCAACTCTTTTGCGAACATTGTCTAATGGTATTAAAACGCCGCGATTCTTCTGTTCCGCTTCACAGAACTCTTTCAATTTTAATATCATTTCTCGACCTGCACTTTTTACAACTTTTGGCATCGAAAATAAACCTTATAATGCACAAATTTAATAATAAACTCACAAAATATCTACCACAACAAACCCACCTTGACAACATCGACAAACGACAACATGGCCGAACTCCCCATTTGTCAAATTTAGTTCCACAATTGTCCGCGGGACTTCTTTCGTGAAATGGACTCTAATGTAAACATGCCTTTATAATAAAATGTGACATTTCTAAGCATAGGTTAAAAATACACCCACAGATTGAAATGCTCTGTGCACAGATTGTAATACACTGAAGATAAAAATTGGAAAAGTACCTAAAAACATAATATCAAAGAAATCTTTGTGTCCAAAGCTACTCAAAAAAATAGATAGCTGATAGCTTGATACTTGCTTAAAACCCATCACTTCTTTGCATCACCCTGCGGTTGTGATGTGATGGCTCATAGACATACAATAAAGTCTGTGTGTTGGCGAGCTGCGTCCGGCACTAAGCCCGCCATTGTATGATTGTAAGTAGTGCATAAGTATAATATATATGAATAAAAATATTGATTTGTATCATAAAACATACCTACTTAAAGAACAGACCAAGTAAAGCAAAACATTTCAATCTATGTACTTCCATTAAATAGTAAACTAGTAGGTACTAGATAATATTTGTTTTACTAAAAATTAATATATTAGGTATATAGGCAGGTAGGTTACATACCTTGAGATATCGTATTTGGAAATGGTAATGGTAATTCTATCTTATCATAGCGATTTTTCTTACGAACATGGTTCACATTGACATTGCACATATCATCTGGCTCACGAAACAAAGGCATTAATAATTTGTCTTATATTACATCACTTTTTCATAAATTTAGATAAACGATTATTACATAATTATTGATACGGCTCAGTTTTAAGACAAGTATAGGTTCATTGATTTTAGCCTATTTTCATACCTATCTGTTATTGACACTGTCATAAATAAATAGGTAAGACCCGGATTATGATTGTGACATATTTATTTCTTTTTTATAGGTTTACGGCAAGGGTACCTAACGCTTTAAGGTTTTGTTTAGTGGAGTAGAAAAATATAATGTTATAATTTTACACTACATTCTTTATATTTTGAAACTACAGTGGGGCCAGTATTTAAAGTTTAAATTGTACACGGGCACCTTGGGATACTTAGCAACAGACCATTGAAAATGTTCCAAAATAATCTTTTTCACGCTCTGTAGGCAGTGCCGGATTAGCCACGTAGCAAGAGTAGCAAATGCTACGGGCCCCGCGAATTGGGGGGCCCCGCGCTCAAATAGGTATTTTGTAATTACACCACTTCAACTGCAAGACTTATGAAGAAAATGTTTTGTGTACAAAACTACTACCAAACTACAAGTAATTTGATTTTTTTTCTTAACGAAATAATCGAAAAAAGACAAATAGTCGGTATTTTGTACGTGTAAGAAAAGGAAAGCGAGTATTTGTCCTCTCGGTTTGTGCCATTGGCGGGGGAACCGAACCGAACCGACCCGAAATGCGCGCATGGCTATTTCCGCCTCACCTCTAGGTATAATATCTATCACGAAAAACGCTGGTGTCAAAATCAACAACAATAATTATAATTTATACGACATTTTTTTTAATTGAGCTCTAGTCACAGACAAACGCAAGTTGGCAACACTGCAAAACTATTTGGGGAATTCCCTGATATTGTCATCGATCGAGCTAGACGTAACTCAAACAAATAAAATAGGATTCTATTGACTATCAAACAATAAGAAATTGATATACACTTTCCTTTGGGTCAATATAAAAAACTAATATAAGCACTTTAAATGTGAACTATTTGTGAGAAAAGTTGTCTTGATATTGCTTCGAGTACTGTTTTCGTGATTGACGTAGCGCTGAGTGCAATTCATTCAATTATCTTTTTTAAAATACAATAGGAGAGTTTTTGTATGTGCAAGTGCAAATGCAATTAGTGCTTCGCTACAATCGTCTGATCAAGACCTTAACTCGTCGAGTACCGGTTTTGCAGACACAATTATAGAACAATAGGTTGCGGTCACCGGTGACCGCTTGGTGTTAGACAGTTTAATACGGGATACGCCCTTTATCGCCCTTTATCGTTACGTAAAGTCTATCAAAGAAGAATTGATTGAACTTAAGAAGAGTTTTGAGTTCTCCAGCGGTAGACTTGATGATTTTGACGCGAGGCTTGTGGAGTTGGAAGTGAAGGCATCTGAGTTTGATAATCTAAGGGACACCGTGTCTTCGTTACAAGCAGAAGTGGTTTCAACAAGAACTGATTTCTGTTCTTTTGATCATAGAACGAGACTGAACAATGTCGAAATTAAAGGCGTCCCCGTGAAGAAAAATGAAAATCTGTTTTCGGTTCTCGATGCCATCAGTAGCAAAATTGATATTGAGGCAAGAGCCAAAGATTTGACTAACTGTGAAGAATACCAGCAACAGACATCACGACGAATCAAGCGAAATACAAAGTACGACCATTTCAGCGGCTTTAATACACTCGACGACTTTGTTGAAAATCAAACACCTGGAAAACGTTTCGAATTTGAGGTGTTTATTGTCATAATCGATAACGTTACTATCTGCTTTAACTAAACGTATGAAAGCATATCATAAAATTACTAGTGTTTTTGAAGTACTTTGACAGACAAAATCTCTTACAACAGAAGAGATTTTGGAAAAATCGTTAAGGATGGTCAGTGCTTACGAAGACAATTTGGAGAACAGCCTAGGCGGCGAATTAGTGCAGTTCGCAGAGCTGCTGAAAACAGATGTGACTACTGTAATTGACAGCAAGAAACAGGAGCCTCTGGAACTGCAATTTTATAAACTTTTATTAAATAATTCTTTAGAATCGTGTTTCCCAAATTTAGAAATTGCCTTGCGCATTTACTTATCTCTTATGATCACTAACTGCAGTGGCGAACGTTCTTTTTCAACGATGAAAAGAATTAAAAATGAATTAAGGAACACTATGGGCCAAGAACGTTTGAATCATCTCACATTGTTGAATATAGAGCATGACTTACTTAAAGAAGTCGACATTGAAAGTATAATCGCTAAATTTGCCAATAATAAATCTAGAAAAGTTTATTTGTAACAGTTTTGTTTTATTTAATACCCTAAATTTGAGAACCGATAGCAAACCAAGGGCCCCTTGACAGAATTTGCTACAGGCCCCGCGCTGGCTTAATCCGGCATTGTCTGTAGGTACTTACTGACAACTACCTATAGCCTAACACTTTTTTTTGATAAGGGGGGTAAATCATCAATTGACTGCTCCCGCCTGAGTGAGGCGGGAGGGAGTGTCAGACTGTTACTGACTAAAAACCACCCCGTTTCTTCTTCTGCACGTCGAGCCGGAGCCCCGGTTACCCGTTAGGTTCTCCGCGACTCCGAATCGGCAACGGCCCTGTTGGGCTCCATCTGTGGCGGTCTGATGGCTCTTTGGCATCTTGAGGCGCGTCGCGTTCCGCGCGCGCCTCAAGATGCCATCAGTATCCATCAAATATCCATCCGTACGCTCAGATCTGTTGGTCGGACGGGGAGCCATCCATGCTCGCCGTCCGCAGGCCCGCGCTTACGGTGGCCGGAGATCGTCCCGCGATCCCCGACGCCCGGTGTGTCCTTCGCGATGGCTGGGTTGCGAGAAGGCAGCGCTTCGATTCCTCACGTGTCCCGCCTCCTCCTTAGCTAGCATAACTGCTTTGCAAAAGGAGGAGACGGCATCCCAGTCCCCCTCGCTCCGCATCATGACCCGCACTAGGCCCGGACTGAGGGCCCTGAGGGCACGGCGGTGCTCAGCCCACGCAGGGCATTCCGCTACAGTGTTTTCCACCGTGTCCTCAGGGCGGTCCTCGCAGTGATGACACCCGGACATAGCCTAGCCTAACACCTATATGTAGGTATAGAAATAGCAGCTATAGGTACATGTACCTACACATTATTATGAGTATAGTCCGCTGGTCAGGTAGTTAACTTAGGTACTACAACTACGTATCGCAAATAATGCAATGAGTAGGTAGGTATCTTATTTACATTCAGGCCACTTCACTTGTAAAGTCATTAAACAGGTAGGTACATACCTAGACTCTGGTTTGATATTTTCCTTGCCCAACTTCTACCATAAGGAACTTTTAATTAGATTAGGTATGGATGTTTATGAATATATCTTTAATTACGTCCTATGAAGCACATAGGAGAAGGTACCTACCTACTTGAATTGATAAAACTATGAAATGGGGATTACCTATAAAAAAGCATTGCCATGTGCCTGGATTGTCGTAATTCCGTGAGTGCGTTTACATGGGCCAAAATTAGTTTATTATATAGTCCATGGTTTACAAATATTTTAGTTTAATCCCTGTGATGGAAACTAACACGTTTACGCAACTTCTAAGCTATTCTATAACTGTCAATTCGAACCTTCAAAGTGAGCTCGAATGCACTTCGATTATTCGAATTGAGAGTTACAGAATAGCCTTAGTTGTTTTTTTAAACATTACAGACTAGGTGGTTGCTTGTATTTTATTTACTTAGATTATAAATCTCAATCTCATTTACTAAACAGAATTAATTCACCTTAGTTTGGCTCATTACAATATAGCCTGCAGGACCAAACAATATTTCTTACCATATTAATTATCTAGTCTTAAATCTAGCAAAGCCTTATATAAAACACTGCTAAAAGCAAAATAACAATACTGTCAGTGGGACCAGTGAGTAATATCGCTAAATTAGAATGGACCCGATCTATTGTCGGTTTTGTGACTGGCGTAAATTGTGCTAACGAAGTGACGATCCTTCATTTTTCTAAAATAGCGCTCTTCTCATTGCTTCTCCAGTACAGAGATCCAACAAGGGTAGCTAAACACTGAAACAAAAGAATGTACCTAAGTAAGAAACAATTTTTTTTGTGCAATGGCAGCAAACGAACAAACAGGTCACCTGGTGGTAAGCAATCGGTAGGTACCTACTGCTTAATTGGTTAAAGATACCAAAGGAAGGCGTTCCAATTGCGTTGATGGACTCAAGTCCATCAAGTCCTCAAGGACTAATAAACTTCTTCGACACCATAATGATTGATAGTTGATACCCACAATGAGGAGAAAACTACACTAACTTTCACTTTCTTTTTAACTCGTTGAGTACCGACCACCGGTAACCGCTCGGTGTTTGACAGTTTAAATAACTCTTCAGTTAACACAGAATCCACCAATAGTGTGGTCGTTTACAACTGTCCCGATTGGTCTTCGTAAGTCTTGTAGATGATAGGCAGAATATTTTGGTTGGGAACTGGTTCACCATGGATGTACCACGTTTATTGGTTAGTGGGATGAGATCGGTGAATCAAGTGAAACAAGTGAGTTAGAAAGATATAATTGGGTACCTGACAAATTCCATAATAAATAGGTAGGTACATAGGTATTCCCCAAATAGGGGAGTTCGTCTCTTGGAACAATCTCGTAAAATCGAAATTCGAGATTCCTTTCTGCTGAGTCGTTCTAGTAATCACATAGGATCACAGAGGCCTTTGTTCCAATTCCAAAGTGGATGATCTGCGGCTGATGATGTTGCTGGAGTCGAACTGGACTGCAGGAAACTGCGAAGAAGTCTCGCCTCACTCTTTGCCCCAGTGAAACAAGTAACTAGGTACTTATATTATGTATTTATAGTTCAAGCAATAAAATCATATACGGTTCTAAGACAGTACCTAGGTTCGATCTACCATTAAGTACCTACTGCCTACGAAGTTACTAAAGACTAAAAGCATGGTAAAGAGATAGTAGCTACATAGAGTAGGAATCTATAGGTCTCTACGCTAGAATATCGAGAGCACGTTTTATCCAGCGTGCTCGATGCTTGGATCGGACACTAAGAAAATTAGTAAATTTACATAGGAAAGGGTGATGCATTTTAACTGGAAATTATCGAGCGGTTCAAAAGCGGTACCATACAGCAGGTGTACAGTAAACGAATATGGAAGAATATGCATTGCCCTAAAAGGACCGAATTACAAAAATGAAAATCAAAGTGAGATCACCAATAAATATTACTAAAGGGAAAATCATTGACAATGACAAGTGTTGGGTGCAGGTAAATTCCATTGCTTCGTACTGGGTCATTCATAGATTTAGTATTGTAAGTATATGGCGTCATTACATAATTATCATTACCGATGACTTTCTTCTGTTATTCTTTATAGTTGTTATATATACTCTTTGCTCCTTCGTTTTTATTTACTCATCAGGCCATTGTTTTTTCTATCAGTTGTCATTGCTAAAAAAATAAATAGGCAGGTATAAACCAAAGAGTATAATAAGTATTTTTTTTTAAGGGGGGAAAGTCATCGAATGGCTGCTCCCGCCTGGGTGAGGCGGGAGGGAGTGTTAGACTCTTACTGACTAAAAACCACCCCGTTCCTTCTTCTGCTCGTCGAGCCGGAGCCCCGGTAACCCGTTAGGTTCTCCGACAAAATGTTTGTTTAGGTTTATAAATTTATCTTTTAAATAAGTATTAATTTCTGTTTAAATCTTGGCTAATATTTTGGGTGAGAATAGACCAGTTAATGTAATAAATTTTTAGATAAAACCTATTTATTTGATAATTCTAAGTAGCCACTATTAAAGTCTAATTGCGTATCTGTGAGGGTTCATCTAAAACGATTTTACAAATCTTTTCTTTTCTATTATAAAAAACTTTGCCCCACACTAGGATTTTCAACTACTTGTTCACGTGGATCACACAAAGAGTTGCTCCGTGCGGGAATCGAACCTGCTACACGTTGCGCGGGAGCCGGTTGCCCAGACTCCGCGCCAGCCGCCAGCTGTGCAGTTAGTATCAAATATCACTCTTATACAAAAAAAGGTAGGTACTTATACGATTTGCACAATTTTGATTTGGAATTATACTCTTTTTTCTTTTCTTACCTATAATCGTCAATGTACCTACTTTCAATACCAAAACAAGGTGGCAACCCTACTCGCAGACCGTAGTAAGTAGTTGTAGCGCACAGGCTTAGCCTACGGTTTACGGTTGTTTATTAGTTTACATTTAGAGAGCAAATGAATGATAAATCTATTAACCGTGTCTTTGTTTTGTCCTGTTCCGACCATTTTAGGGCTAATTAAAAAAAAATAACGCTAAGAATTATGTAACAAGTTTCAACTGCCTACCTAACGTCTAAAGTCGGTGTACCTAATGCCGCGACACCGCCGCCGCCTAGAAATACTCATTCATTCCTTTCATAAATATTTGGCTTATGTTTAATCAATCTGTAAAAACAACCTTTCTTCCGGAGATTCTATTTCCTAGCTAATAAATAATTAAACCTAAAATATATACGAATGTTAGATAGCCCTTAAGTATCTATATTAGGTACCTAACTAAGTTGGCAATGCTTTACCTAACGGCCTTCCTTAAGCCCGAAGCCGAGGTGATTATCTACGATAATTTTTTTTTTTTTTTATGGCATAAGCCGGTAAACGAGCAGACGGATCACCTGATGGAAAGCAATCGGCGTCGCCCATGGACACCTGGAACACCAGAGGCGTTACAAGTGCGTTACCGGCTATTTGTGGATTAGGAGTTTGAGGATTGTTGGGGATTCAGGGATTGGGGAGATTGGGGAAGGGGAGGGAAATTGGGCCTCCGGTAACCTCACTCACGCGACGAAACACAATGCAAGCGTTGCTTCACGTCGGTTTTCTGTGAGGCCGTGGTATCACTCCGGTCGAGCCGGCCCATTCGTGCCGAAGCATGGCTCTCCCACACTTAAAAAAGGTTTTATTCTATAGATCTATAGCTAGAAATAATAACGACTGGCAACTTTTTCGTAAAAATATATGAATTAGCCATAAAATATGAATAAAAAACTTTCGTTTTCTTTTTTTTAGTCAATAGCTACTCTTTGATTGTTTTATGCCAGTAATACAAAATTTTATCAAATAATCGACTAAAATAATATTTTTTATTTACAATTACTTACTAATTTAATGAAACTCCCAAATCATCTAAGTACCTATCTATTACCTAAATATTTACTTTTAATTATTATTGCCATTACTGGTTTATTTTTACTTATGTAGGTAGTTTTCAATAACAAACACTATTTTATAAATTATAATAATACTAGCGACTCGCCCCAGCTTCGCACGGATGCAATATGCATGTATAGTGCATGTATGTTGTGTAGTTTTAAAGATCTAAGCATACATAGGGACAGACATAATAAAGACAGACATGATAGAATAAAGTTTGTGCCTGGTTCCAATAACGTGGGCATAACAAAATTAATGCATTTTCCAAAATAGTGCTGTTTTTTTAGATATTTTACCTCTACCAATTTCTTCAATCAACAATACTTTGCAAAAAACATAATTGTTGCAAAAATAAATCTAGTATGTAAGTAACTATTTACTTAACTTACTGCTTTTATAACGTAAATTACTTGACCTTTACATAGACACCCAATCAGGTTAACACTAGTACATAATAGGTACCTACGTGTACACTTTGTACTTAAACTTTCACTGATTTACTTACCTATGTATGACCATTAACTAAACTTTAGTTGCGTGTATGTGTAGCAAAGGACAACAGTCACGTAAGGAACCACAAGTACCCCGATAGAAACGTTAACACATTGGAAACGAATACTCACACAAAAGTACAGAGAAAAGTTACGGTCGAAAAAAAAAATACAGATAAAAGTTGCAAAATTTTGCCGCCTTTTTTGACATCGTCAACAGTCTTGAATAATGATGTGCAATAAGCGCGGCCCGTTTATGTTTAGTCACTTTATATTTTAAATGTCTTAACAAATGTCTGTCGTGTTTAAACAAAAATGTACCGAATTATTCGATCCCTAACTCCCTAAGTCCCTATCAAATAAATATTAAAAACATTATCTTCTTTTATTTATCTATGTATCTAGTTAGGGAAACTACCCACTTAAACTATACGGTTCTATTAGGAGAAATCGATTGAAGATGAAGAGTGTCATTTGGTATTTTATTGTTCTATCCCTGGTCCAATGGAAGAATGGCATGACATTAGATGTTATGTCTTATTTATGTGACAGAAGTCCTAATAGTCACTAGAAGATAAACTCCAGATTGCAAGAGCCATTAAATCTATGGACAAATTGTATAGACTAATAGTTGTTCGATTATGGTGTGTTTACCAAAAGTATATATTTATATTATGAATCACCATCATAGCATCGAAAGCTTTTAGGGATTTCCGTTATTTGCCGATTATTAGCTATACGAGCTAAACGAGCTGCGACTGGCTGCGAGCACCATTCGCGTAGCTTGTAATCTGTTCAAACAAGTGAATGAGAATCACACTGGACAGGAAATATGATCGTTATTTTCTAAAATTGTTTTACTTTCAATTATGGCCACACCAGGCTAATTCGGCGTGATTCTAATTGCGAACAAGTGAGTAGTTTTCTAACCAAGTTTTTTTTTATGCATGGGCAACGTTTAAAGAAACTAGGGTTTTCTCTTCAAGTTCACATTCACTTGCACTACGTACCTACACACTCAGACCCAACCACTGCACCACCTGTGCAGTCGTAAGTGCTTGCCTTTGTTATATTAATGATTGCTAAATATTTTGTTAAGTATTACAAGAGAGTAAAAATCTACAATTTTTGTAGGTATAGGAAATATATTGTGCATCTCGGGCACACACTAGACTAGAACTAAACCTCCACCACGGATGGGGCCCAATAGGGCTGATGCCGATACGGAGCCGCGTACTTAACGAGTTGCCGTGGCTCCGGCTCGAAGGGCAGGAGTAGGAACGGGGTGATTTTTAGTCAGTAAGAGTCTGACACTCCCTCCCGCCTCACCCAGGCGGGAGAAATCATTCGATGATTTACCCTCCTTAAAAAAAGACTAGAACTATACATAAATAGACACCTGAAATACGTTAACTTAGGGGTATGTTAATAGTTTGAGCTTACGAAACACAATAGTGTGACTGGAGGCCACTTTTCTGTCAGGTGGTAAGCCCACTTTGCAAAAGAGCTCGTTGAAAGGACATTGCTGGCGAATATGGATAAACACAATGCTTGTAAATTGCACCAAAATCACGAATGCACGGGTCGTTTCGCTTTGGGACAGTTTGCTCTCTCAGTTCCCCCACAACGAATATGATTCACGTTCAATAAAATTAAGTCTACATTGAAAATGCCAAAGGGTCATAAACTTTAAGTAGCTTGCGATTGAGTTTAAAATGAATGGCTGTAGAAATAATTATTTAATTTATAAAATCTAATAATAAATCAAATTTATTTATTTTACCGAAATGTGTTAAAGCGTTTTGCCATTAAAAAGCCATACCTTACATATACGTATATATACCTACGTTGCCATACGCATTTTTGGCGGTTAGTTACTGACAGTGATGCACCTAATTATAATTATGGACATGGAGTATGAGGAATGCAATGCAATTAGTACGAATTTTGAATTTGGTAAGGACGGTCATCAAGTGGGGACAGAACCTCGCACAAATGAGCCAATTTGTTCTGCGCCACAGCGTTTAATGACTTTTTTGGGTCGACTTCAAATCTCGTTATTTAGTAAGCTGCTTCTTATTTTTATCTGGACATCATTTTTATTTGGGTGACTTTTAACTTTTCTGCTACGTTTTACTTATAAAAGATACCTTTAATTAAATGGTAGATATCTGTGATTTGATTGCATAGGTTCCTAATTATACCTATGTAATAGTACCTATTAAAAAGTAGCTTTAGGTACAACATATCGAACATTATACATATGTTTTGCTGGGAGACTATTTTGTACAGATTATTGGAAAGCACAGTCGTCCAGACATGAAGCAAAGTAATGTATATTATTTGCAAATGTATTTGCTTTATGCGTCCAGACGTAAGCTCGTAGCTTATATCTAGGTATGTATATATAGGTAGGTTTTACGTAGAAGAAACTGTCTCGGCTTACTGCTAATGGTACTAAATTAAATATGCAAATGTTAAGTATGTATTCTAAGAGGCGATTCTTCTTTATTTTTATCCAGCTTAACGGCACTGTCGCGGGGCTAATGGTTCGTGCTCTATTGTTATGTGAAGCGAACTGAAAGAAATGCCGTGACGTCCACTTCGTTCCTTTATAAAAACATTTTGCGATAGACTTTCGGCACACAGTTCAGCATCCAGCTTCGAACAAGGTTTGGGAACATCTTGTAACGCTCATATAAAATCAGCTTTAGAATCAGTGTCAATTATTCTTCATATCAATATAAAAAATAGTCAATTTTTCTTTGCATCTAAAAATGCAAACATCAGGTGTTGAAATTGATAAAAAATATGATTCCAGTGTCAATGATGTCGGGTCTCGTGAGGAGTATGAGTGCTACGACAGTGACGCTGGTGTTCTGTTGCTGGGCTCTGATGTGCACGGGTGCTTCTCTGACGGGACGCTGCAAGGTCAAACGTCACACGCATAAGGCTATGCAGACAGACCTTAATGGAAGACGGTGCTGGGATGATGTTAAGATCACTGGCTGTGGAGGATACTGTCTTTCTTATGAGGTAGGTATGGGTTTCCTTAAAACCCGTGTTGCAGTTAGCGGGCACAGTTTTGTTGGGATTTGTAAATAATAGCATTTGGTGATATCTGCACAGCAACCGATTGTTCAGCCATTGTGCTAACCGGTTGATGTGTAAATACGTGTCACGAGTTCTATTTCCACACTGATGAATTATTTGTGTGATTCATAAATTGTTGCGATAACGTCTATTGAGTGTATGGTGTGTTTGTGTCGCGGAGAACCTAACGGGTAACCGGGGCTCCGAATCGACGTGCAGGAGAAGGAACGGGGTGGTTTTTACTCAGTAAGAGTCTGACACTTCCTCCCGCCTCACCCAGGCCGGAGCAGCCATTCGATGATTTTCCCCCCTTAAAAAAAAATGGTGTGTTTGTGAAACACACAAAAGAAAGTCCTAGTGTGATCAACTTTCGTTCTTCGATCAGTTAAAAAGTCGATGTTGTAAAAAAGCGTTCAATGCTTTTTGGTAAAAGGCATTGTACACCTATGACCTTAAATCAGTCAACATGCAACAACTAAGTATAACAAAGGTGTTCACAATTTACAGATTTCCGACTGGCAGTTTCCGTACAAACAGTCCCATCACCCTGTGTGCGTGCATGGGGACCGTAAGCACGCTTCAGTGAAACTGCGTCACTGCGACCCCGGGGTACAACCCGGCACTGACATTTACCACTACGTTGAAGCTACCTCCTGCAGATGTCAGGTCCGAAAATATTTAAAATAACATCTAAATATAGCTTATATTATAGTTCCTTTTTTTTGGCCGCAAAAAACCCCTTATTGGTCGATACTGATATCGTGCACAAAGGAATTTTACACTAATGCTGATGTCAGTTGCGAAAATCTGGTACCTTTTTAAGCCATTGTTAAGAATTTTCATGAAATTAGATAATACCTACAAATTATGGCTGGATAGGAAACAAAGTATATTGATGGTATGTAATACTTATTTGCAGGCATGTTCATCGGAGGATACTAGTTGCGAGTGGCTACCCCCTGACTCTACACTTCTTGGAGGACTAGTTCTCAGGGAGGAAATAGAAGAAGAGTTGGAACAAAATACTTTTTAAAATACACGATTTTATTAATTACTGCTGTACTTATACATGTGGAAAAAGGGCCAAAATAATAGGTATTTATTGTAATGTTGCAAGTTACATTTTGAAATAAATAAGTAAAATTTTAAAACTTGTTTTATTATTATAAAGAATTAAAAAATGTGATAAAGAAGGAATTGTTTTGCTTTTGAGCATTTCTCAAAAAAAATGTACTTTTTATCTAAATCACTGTCCCATGTTTTGAAATATTTTTTTCTATATATAAAATAGATCATTACCAGTTTCAATTAAATTATATACTTGCTAAGTTTAATAAACTAAGTAAAAAACACTAATAAGCCAGAAAAATATTAATAGATTATTTATTAGAAAAATACTTTAATAATCGGTCTAATTCAGTTGTATGAAAAGTGAAGTGTCTCAATTTCATACCTTCCTAAACAATCGATTGTGTTTGAGAGGACTTGTGAAAATTGTAGAAATAATTATTGTATTTATTTAGAACAAAACGGACATAATCCATTTCTTAATTAATATTGTGTCGTATTAGAACAAATTTATTTAATAAATCATTATTTTATTGTATCCTGTAAAAAGTTCCCATTTGAAATTCCTCTTTTGTTACCATATTTTTGTAGTTTAACAGAGTCAATTTGGTATAAACACGCTTTAGGACAGTAGCAACATTCGCAAGATTGCCATCCATCATAATTCCGTTTTGAAATTTCTTTTACGTCGCATATGCGCGAACAAAATATTGTCTGTTAGCACACTGGTCCAAAAAATATCCCAACTTTGTTACCCAACAAACGCAGGTAAGCTCTAATATTTATTTTTATTTCACATGTAGAACCATTAAAGCTCTCAATCTTAATTTCGTAAGTCAAATCAAAAACGAATACCAGTGTTAGTTGTATGCGTATATAATTTTATTAATTTATTTGACTTAATTTGTTACCTCCTTTTTTGTTAATCTTGAGTGGTAACGTATACATGGAAAAGAAGGTAACAAAATAGGAAATTGTAAAGCAGAGTATTGACTATTTGACAAAGTCTTATTATAAAATATAATATTTTCTATATATGTATTGAATAAATAATAGGTATTGTGTGAAATTGATTGGGAGCTTTGTGATTTTGTTTTCAGCTGTTAATAAGAATATTTTTAGATATCTAATAAAAGAACCTCTTTCTCACATTACTTCTTCTTATTTCTTTCTTATATAATGGTGGGCTGTTTCTATGAATGCTATGAAGCTGAATATGAAATTATTTTTGCTGGTGCTTCAAATTATATTTATTTAAATAATGTTTGGCCTGTATGTTTGGCTTATTAACCATGTTCAAAAAATGCTTTTATATGTGTTTTTCATTGTGTAAGGTATGGTGATTGGTTATATTTTACAGCTCCGAATTAAATACGCCTCTACTAACCCCGGCTGAAAAAATGTGGCGGTATCGAGAAAGATTAAAAGCAACCCTGAAAAAATGGAAGAACAAGGGAAAAAGAACCCGAGAATTGTCTTATTGAAAATCAAAGTATGTTTACAAAAAAGTCAAGGACATGACTGAAGGGGAAAAGAGAAACAACGAAAAAAGTAGCGTGATCATAAAACGAAGACGAAGCAGAAGATGAAAAAATATACATTGCGTAAAATATATATATTGATACATTGCGTATGGGTATAAAGTTTAATTAAAATCGATTCATTCCTATAATTTGTTCTTAATATTCCAAATCATTAGTTTTAATAATAAGGATTATGAAAAATATCTGCTGACCGTGGCAATATAATTACGTCAAAAAAATTGTTTGCCGTACTGTGAAGTCTAGGCTTAAGAAATCCTATTTTGTTACCAGAATTATATTTTTGTTACTGTCCCATAAAAGCGGGCACATAATTCTTTTCTTTTTTAAATATTGTAAAAGGTTTTAATATGTTTTTGTTATAAAACCTAAAATATATTTCTTTTTTGCATTATTTATCTATAAAAAAATATGAAAAGAAATACAATAGACTCAATAATTTAAAGATAAATCAAGAGTTGTGGCCGAATAGTAACGTAAAGGATGCATTACTGCCGATATTTTGTGATTTTTCTGTTAATATAGACTCATTTTTGAAAAACAAATGAAATTTTGTTTTATTATCCCATTTTAATCAAAAAAAACTTCTACTAATATAATTAAATATTAAATTCACTTAATCTAGCGAGGGTAACAAAATAAGAATTTTTTTGCACCTTGGTTTGGTTTTGATAGATTTTGCTATTTATTTACGTTTTATATGAGAAAACAAACCTCATATTTATAAACTTTAGACCTTAACCCGTAGCTTAAAACAAAGAAATCAAGAATATATCAATATTTTCATTTTATCATATTTTCTAAGAAATGGTACATTTTTTTTGAGAAATGCTCTTTTGCATTCTGTATAAGTACAACAAGTAGTACCTACTGCCTGGCTAACTAGCTAGTGGAGTAACCAGTAGGATACCTACCTACTGCCCTACAAACAATAGCAATTCCACTGCAATGTAACTGCAATGTCAGGAACCTTCATTCAATTCATTCAAAGTCAGGAACCGAATAAGGAAGAACCGAAGAAGAAAACCGAATAGTAGTGATGGATAAACAAAACGGATTACAAAACAATGCCTAGTTCAATTTTACTGACATTGAAGATATAATAATAAAAATGTAAAAAAAAATATTTATAAAAAAAAACCAAAACAGAAATGACAGTAATAGAAAATTGGCATTGGCAACCCAAGATTGTCATAATGGTTGGTTGGTGTTGTTTCGCTGTCACTTGTAATTGCCAGTGATTTTATCTAAAAACAGAGATTTTCATTTAAATATGTAACTTAAACACAACATTCAGCTAAATAAGTTCATATTTTATTGTGCTACACAAACAAATTGCATCATTTATTTCAGATACAAGCGATAATTTAAAATTTGATATAGGCATCGGTGTTATGGGAAGTGTTAGTCATGAAACACTGCAGTGTATTTATTGTTTTGTGCTTACATTTGTGTGTTATTAAATGTGCAAGATCGGACAGAATAGATTCTATGTCATTACTAAAGTCAAACTCAACATCGGAGCAAAAAGTATGGAACATAAAACTTGACATTTTCTTCTCGAAAACTTTACCAGCCGTCATCTCCAGAGCACCGAAGAGTGATGTACGTTTCAAATGTGAGGCGATCATGAACTATACCAAGGTGGAGAAGTACACTAAAAATAGGGAAGGTGAGGTAACATTGCTAAAAGAAGCTCCCCCTGATCACATACAGCAGAAACTATTGGAAAATGTTAAAGTATATTGGTTGAAAGACAGTAAAATTATTGATGATAACTCAACTCAAAGAATCAAAATAGCCACCAAGATTGATAAGAGCAATGGCACAATAGGTACAAATTTAAGAATTAAGGACTTGATTGTAAGTGACAAAGGCAACTATACTTGTGTAATTAAACAAAATTATGAGAAGAAACAGACATCACAATTAAAGATTGAACAAGGTATTGAAAACTATGAGATTCCTACATATACCTCATTGTTCCCCAACACTGATATCTACAGCCAGCTGGATATTAATGTGCAGTCCACTCCAGGTCTATCATCAGAAAATATACAAACACTAAATAATACCAATTCCACTGACCCAAAAAAGTTGGAACCAATATGCCAAGAATATTTAGGAAATGTGTGTGCAGAACATTTAAAGGGTCAATTTGTTTATATACCTTACAATACTAGCCAGGACGCTCTTGAAGATAAATTGCTGAAAGCATTCCAAGTCACTAAATATTCAAATGATATAAGTCCTCGCTGTGAGGGCTATGCCGTACCCAGTCTCTGTTACTCAACATTTCCTATCTGTAGAGATCCTTTTGTTACCAACAGTAAGTTCTTCAGGGAAGCTAAAAAACTGTTTACTCTTCAATCTGATCCTGCAATTAAAATTAATGATAATGACCTACATGAAATTGTGTTTGAAAATTTGCCATTTGGCAAACTACCCAGTATGTACACAGATTCCAATAGCTCATTTGCATCAATGTTTGATTTCCGTTATAACTCCACAGTCCTCCGAAGGGTCTGTAAACAAGATTGTGAGATACTGGAAAATGAACTTTGTCAGAAAGAGTATGCTATAGCTAAGAGGCATCCACATATAGGACAGCAGTTAACACTAGAGGAATGCCAAGACCTTCCTGAAAATGATCCTGACTGTTTGAGAATTAGTATTGGAGCTGTAATGGTATCTGATGATGAATGTTACTGGGAAAATGGAAGTGGATACTTAGGGCGAGTTAATATAGCAAATAATGGCATGCCTTGCGTTGAGTGGTCTAAACAACTACATGTAAGATTGTCAGATTATCCTGAACTCGCTGGTACACACAGTTATTGTAGAAATCCTGGAGGTGTTAAAGAGCAGCCCTGGTGCATCATTGAGAAGGATGGTAAAACAGATAAGCAGCTCTGTGATATTCCAAAATGTGCTCACAAAATCTGGATTTACATTGTCATAGTTTTTCTTCTTTTGACTCTTACAATTATTGGATTTATTATTTGTTTGTGCTACAGACATAAAAATAAGAATAATGCTTCCACAATTAGAGATATTAATTTACCCAATGCTGATAAAAACATCTATGGCAATTCTAGACTTAATTCACCAATAGAAATGAGTGAACTCCTGACCAACAATATAGCCAATCAACCTCACCTGACCAGGAACACTAGAGGCAATGGAGTGCTTCGTATTCCTCAATACTCTCTATCACAAATTAAATTCTTGGAAGAATTGGGTGAAGGTGCTTTTGGCAAAGTCTACAAAGGAGCTCTGAAAAAGAATGGTGAAACACAGTTTGTTGCTGTCAAGGCATTGAAAGAGAATGCTTCAGCTAAAACACAGGCAGACTTCAGAAGAGAAATAGACTTGATATCTGAATTAACTCATGATAACATTGTGTGTATTGTTGGTGTAGCATTGAGAGAAGAACCTTTGTGTATGTTGTTTGAGTTTATGGCGCGAGGGGATCTTCACGAGTTTCTGATGGGGCGTGCGCCACCTTCTGGGAAAGGTTTACCACCTATGAGACTGCTAAACATTGCAAATAACATTGCATCTGGGATGCAATACCTTGCTTCCCATCATTATGTCCACAGGGATCTTGCAGCTAGAAACTGTCTTGTCTCTGATGACTTTATTGTCAAAATATCTGATTTTGGTCTTTCCAGAGATATCTACAGTTCAGATTATTATAGAGTGAGTATTTTTATCTTTGTTAAAAGAAACTACAATATCACCATAATTATGTTAACGTGCATGAATAAAGAATGTAATTAATGGTTACTGATTGCCATGAATGCATAGCATGCAATATTTTTACATTGCGCGAATATTTTATGCTACTTATCTATCGATGATCTAAGAACATCACGCACATTGGAAACAATTTGCGAAACAAGCTCATATATATGTCTTGTTATTTCATTCCTTTCACTTATTGAAAGTATTGATACAAATCGATTTGCATTATGACTAACTGTTTCAGTCAGTGGAGATTTTGGACTAATATTTTTAAAACTATTTATTTTTCAGGTTCAGTCAAAGAGTTTACTACCAGTAAGGTGGATGCCACCAGAGTCCATACTCTACGGTAAATTCACAACAGAAAGCGACATTTGGTCATATGGAGTAGTATTGTGGGAAATATACAGTTATGGATTGCAGCCATATTACGGGTAAGAAAATAATGACTTATTTATGAACTAATTTACATACATGAATATTATGAATAATTGAATATTGAATACTTATTGTTATTTCGATTTCTTTTATTTTACAGATATAGCAATCAAGAAGTCATATCGATGGTGCGCGGAGGCGAGCTACTCGTGGCTCCAGCGAACTGCCCGGCACCAATGTACACACTCATGAGGGACTGTTGGAAGCATACGCCGCAAAGGAGACCTAACTTCGAGGAAATTGTTAATAGGTAAGTAATAAGTACCTTAAGTTTCGATTCTCATAAGGGTTATCGAAGTCTGACATAAGAAAATACTCGTAGTAACAACTAGTAGCATCTGGAAATTGCTCGTGTATTGTTGTAGCTACCTAGATTTTCCCTTTTCCCTTTAGAACATATACATTTATTCTTTTCTACAAATTCTGTTTTTCTGAATCTGTAAAATTATTATTCCAGGATCCAAGAATGGATAAATATGGGTGGGTGTCCAGAAATCGCAGCTTCTGAGGCAGGAAGCAGTGGTTTTGGACACAGGCCTTCGGGTTCCAGCCGAGACTTGCAGGAGAGGGTACCTTTACTACCACCACACTGCTCCTCATCTAATGGCTCCCTGGCCACGGGCAGCCTGAAAAAGTTCAGCGCAGCAGGTTCTAGCTCTAAAGTTACAGATGATAATTGTTCCACTTGCAGTGAGGTGCCACCTCTTGCACCCAAGACAAAGAAACACAGCTCGGGATCGCTCATCGATACAGAGAAAGTAGGTACGAAAGATACAGTGGTTAGGATATTACCTAACTCACAATTTGGTAACGAAATTTAAGAGATGGTGAGATGGTACAAATCACGGAGTGGTTATAAATGGAATGATAAGTATGCAACGAAAATCTTCCCTCTGTCGCAATGGCTATATGTCCACTATACAAGTTGACTTGCTTTTGCGTATTTACACTTCATTTGTGTCCTACTCCATGGTAGAATAGATAGCCAATGTTCGACATGTTTTACTTTAATGCTTTGTGCATTTTACACTTAAATAAGAAGTTAGTTTAAGTTAGGTTTGTAAAAAGAGGTAGTTTTTATAACACTTTAGTCTTCATATTATGTGATTGTGTAAGCCACTTTCGTTGAATTACAGACGTATAATAGATACTCGATGATTCATGACACTTCTGAAGTTAAGTTTATGTTAATATTTTGTTACATTTTTCGAATTTTAAGTCACAATTTTGCCTGCCTTCGTTTTACTGACAATACTGCCAAGTATGTTTAGTTTGTAACGGATAATTGCTTGAAGTAATTAATATGTTTCCATAATTACTGATTCCCATTAGTTCCTTTATTTTACATAGGTATAAGGTGTAGTTTTAATAATGGTTGTGTACTATATGTAAATGGAGTACCTTAATGAGTTTTTGAATACAGAGGTACAATGAAAATAAGTACATAATATTTCAATTGGCTTTACTTATCTATGTATTTACTTAGTTATAAGTCAAAGTAAAACCGTAATAGAGTTAGGAGTTTATTATTTTGTTGTCAATTATTATTTATTTTAGATTATTTTATATTGGTATGCATTTTTAGCTACTGAACAATATAATTTGGTATATATTTGATAGGTACGGGTTGTCATAATATACATAGCTGACATCCCTAGCATAAATAATGTTAATAATGTTGCGTAATAAATTAATTAGTTACAATTGTAATTTCAAATTTCTGCCTTTTTATGTTTTATTATGTGTAACTTGTAAGAGAATTCTATTAATAATTTTGTACCTACAACAACTAAAAATACCCCGCCTAATCCAAACTGCTAGTTGTTAATTTTAAATTAATTTTATTTTTTATTTATGTTGCATCAGATGGGGTTGTACTTACATTGTATGTAACATACATACGATGTTAAACCTTTCTTTTTAAAACTTAAATAGGTATTCAAGTACATAATCTGTCTAGTTAGAACTCTATTACTTAATTAAATATTTTTATGAAGACATAATATGTATAAAGTAATTTATGATTTATTATCTGTATACACTTTTGTTATTTTCACTCGGTTTGCCATAGGGAAAGTGAAAATTACTTATATCCAAATACCTAAACGCCACTCCATTTTAACGCGCACTTTTAAATACAGTTTCGTCACTACAATTTCTTTGTAAAATGACAGAGAAGACCCGTTATTTCAAGTTGAGTGGCATTTTAGTATCTGGGCGTTACATTTGAATTCTCCTGTCCTTTTAGACCATGTACCTACATTTGCTTGTAAAATAGTTAAAACACTTAAGTATAATAAAATATGTAAGTGGTGTCTGAAGCAGTGTGTGTTCCAAGTAAATAAGTATTTCAAAATTCTAATGTTGTATTAGCTTATAAGACTGACTGAAAATATCAACTACACAATTGTCAATATTGTACTTATTTTAGAAATTTTAAGCTTCACGAACTGGACATTTTTACTCGAAACGATTACATGACGAAATTCGGCGTTAATACTGGCAACTATACAATACGATCTCATTGTATGCAGTTTGTTTTTAAAGCATGTGTTACCAACTCATCATAGATGATCTTCCAACAAATATTGATTTATTTATTTTTATTTATTTATTTAAGTTTTATACAATACAATTGCATAAGGAGGACTTAATGCTAACAGCATTCTCTGCCAGTCATCCTTTGGGTAGTGCAGAAATGTATGTGGTAGGTGGTAAGCTGCAAAGATGTTAGTGGTAATTATCAAAATTAATAAGGAGCATCAAAGCACACATAAAATACGTATATAATAATATATATAATCATACATATATATATAGATAGATATAAATAACATCATACATAATATAATCTATCTATGAGCCGTATATGAATTTATCCTATATTAAAACAAGATGAAAACTAATAAAAGATGTTATGAAACTGCCAGCTTTCTGCTAATGTACTCACGCGCCCTCCGCTTGAAACTCAAACGACTGGTTGCGGTTCTGACATTCGTTGGAAGCGTGTTCCAGAGAGAAATGACTTGTATGAAGAAAGAAGAATGAGTAAAGTTACTGTGATGGGCAGGACAGTGCAAAAGCCGATTATGCGAAGAGCGTAGATTTTTAGTATGGTTGTCACATACATACTGGAAATGTGAAGTTAGATAGTTAGGGGAAGTGGGAGAGAAAAGCAGAGAAAATGATTTAGCAAGCAAGCAGCATTTTTCTCTTTTGTGATGTGTGTTGGTAACCCATGATGCTTGCCTGTTAGTACCTAAGCGTAAGTATAATATAAATATATAATAACTTATTGTTTACCTATACCTACATAATTTCTTTTTTGAAATTTTACCGGTTATCCATTTTTATAAAGTTTTTTTTTATAAATGTTTATATTTAGTACTTCCTGTACTAGCCAAAGACTTTTTGTTTGTATGTGATACACTTAGTTTCTTACTTAGATGTAAATTGTATTTCTATAATAAATAATTTTTAAAAGTTTTCTATAATTAATTTATTATTATTTAAGATGTGTACGATTTGAAGGGATTATTCAACCATATCGCCGTCGTTTGCGCCTCGCAAATCGATGGATAACACGAGTGTTATCAGTAAAACCCGAATACCCTCCGTTTTTTGTATTAATTTTATACATGTGTAACTCAAAATCAGACTTGCGAGTTATAAACAATAAGATTATAGGTACACAATAATTTATTGATTTGGCAAAGGGTTGTGGTACAAAAATTGTCTTAGGAAATAAAAGTGCCTTTTTACCTACCCTCTTGCTACGGTGGCGCCTCCTATTTATCGCATCAGTTCGTACATGGTTCGTACTCTCTACAAGATGAAGTTTTGGGAGAAATAAAAATTTCTTCTTATCGTTGGATTTTTTGTAAGTATACATATACACATACATACGTAACCTCACGCCTGTCTCCCATGGGGGTAGGCAGAGACTAGGGAACGCCAATTACTACGATTCCTTCCCACATACCTCTTTCGCTTCATTAACAGTCATCAATCTTTTCATGCATGCTCGTCGGTCTTTTCATTTGGCCCATCTTTTTTAATAAATCGCCAATCTGGTCACTACATGCCCGTCTTTTTTTTAAGGGGGGAAAATCATCAAATGACTGCTCCCGTCTGGGTGAGGCGGGAGGGTGTCACACTCTTACTGACTAAAAACCACCCAGTTCCTTCTCCTGTACGTCGAGCCGGAGCCCCGGTAACCCATTAGATTCTCACACTATATGCCCCTCTAGGGCGCCCTCTACTGACGCCCCTATCTCTCTCTTTCTCTTTTTGTAAGTATACACATTAGAAATAAGACAGAAGAGTATAAACCATTATATTCCATTGCATTGAATAGAATGTGATGCAATTCAATTCAAATAGAGACGAGAAACCGATCCTATCAACATGTGAACATTGGAGAAGGTGTAATTTTAATAGTGTTTGTTATTTGATCATTCGTTATTGAATTTGGCGCAGTACCTTTAGTTGTAGTCCTTGGTAGTAGGTACAATAAACCTTTATTCTGTGAAACGCTCTATTCCCTACACTTTGCTTTGATTGATCACGCTTTGAATAACAATTATTTCTATCTATGGTATTTTTGCTACTATCATCTGTGGCATACGCGACAAGGACAGGGGCGTACGGGCTGTCAAAATTGTATAGGTACCTATCGATTGTGCAATAAATTCGTATTTTAACATGATAATTTAATAAAGTGCGTTTGTTTTTTATGTAGCCGTAAGTAGTCAATGTTTAAATATAAAATGAAGTGAGATATATCTGTGGCATCAGAAATATCGTGAATGAATTTAATAAAATAGTGAGCTCTTGGGTTTTTTCTTGTTTGTTGTGAAAACAAGAGAAACGATGGTGGAGAACGGAGCCTCCAGTGGGGGTAGTGACAGCCCCAGTGCAACATGTTCACGTTCAGGCCTGCTGGAGACGCTAGTGCGCGGTGTCTGGTATCGTGTGCATTGTACGCTGGAAGAGGATTACTTGAGCGTGTGTCTCGATGATGGGTACGATGCGACGACCACGTTGAACGGCACCTTGAATAACAACAACGTGGAAACTCCAAACAGTGATTTCACGGAAGTTCCAGAAGCTATTGCGAATCAGAAACGTTTAGTACAAGTGGTTAAGTCAGACAATAATGGTTTGGGAATATCAATAAAAGGTGGCATAGAAAATAATATGCCTATACTAATATCAAAGATATTCAAGGGCATGGCAGCTGATCTTACAGAACAGTTATATGTTGGTGATGCTATACTATCTGTGAATGGCGAGGACCTGAAGGATGCCACACATGAGGAGGCAGTGAAAGCATTGAAAAGAGCTGGGAAAATGGTGCAGTTGGAAGGTGAGTGTGTTCATATGATTCGTGAGTCCCCAGAATAGAATGCAGTTGTGTTAACACACATGACCAGTTATAAGGCATAGGCTAACTATACTGACCTTAATTACACCCATTCAGTGAAGCCGACCTGCTAATTGAACTATTCATAGGTTGCATCAAGTGGCAGCTAGATAAATATAGTCACTGCTGACTGGATTATCTAACAAATGCTAAAAATTTATTTTAAGTTGATTAGATATTTCAATTAGAACCTACTATTTCAATTTCATTTTGTAAATGAGTATAAACTATGAAGATATAGCCCTTAATATTATTATATATTATTATTATAGCCCTTATTGAAAGGCTACTAAATTTTAAGTCATACTTAAAAGACAATATGGTGTCACCTCTATCATTTTACAAAAAACTCTGTAGGGACAGAACTATATCATAGTCTGACACAGTATCCAATGATACCGTGTTGGACTACGATGACCGACGCTATCGGAGGATTAGCTTTTAACAGTTTTAGTCAGTGTTTAAGGCTTAAGCACAAATTAAAATTGAGTGCCATTTCAATATTTGCAAAATAGGTACTTAACTCGTCAAGTACCGTCATCATAGACACAATTAACTCGTCGAGTACTGGTTTTGTAGACACAATTATAGAACAATAGGTTGCGGTCACCGGTGACTGCTTGGTGTTTGACAGTTTAAGGAACAATAGGTGACAGTTAAACTGTCAAACACCAAGCGGTCACCGGTGACCGCAACCTATTGTTCTATAATTGTCTTTATAATGACAGTACTCGACGAGTTAATTGATACTGTAGAGTAGTAGTAGTAGGATTAAATAACTTTCTTAACACATTAAAACAGTTAATATGAAATAATAAAACACATGCTTAGTTTGTGATAAATTACCAATGGATCTGGTTTACATAAATGTTTATTTTTAATTGATTTTTATTTGAGGTCAATTGAAAGGAAGTGAGATAGAAGTTACTATAAAAATGTTTATTATATAAATAGAAAGAGGTACATATTTTCATTTTAATACACATGACCATGGAATTAAACATCAAAAAGACTTAAAACATAATCATTCGGAAAATGATTTACTCTAACTTTAACGCTTTAGGTGTCATGCGACGTACATGTGCATTGTGAGCAAAAGATTTGTCTTCAGTGCTTACTTATCTCATGACAGTCAAAGACTTAATTAAAAAATGTTGAATGATATAAGAGAGTACACTTTTACTTTCAGTTAAGTACCTCCGTGAGGTGACTCCGTACTTCAGGAAGGCGTCAATCATCAGTGAAGTAGGGTGGGAGTTGCAGCGAGGTTTCATGGCAGATGTACCACCTTCACCTCCATCACCACGTCGCCGGCGCGCCGACACTCGCTATGTACCCTTGTTGATGGCATGCATCGCCAAAAACTTACGTCATCGAGATCCAGGTAATAAAATAATGGATTGACTGAAATATATCAAGATCTAGATTCAAAAGTGGATTTAACTCTCATGCAGTGCTGAATGTGAGCACAACTCTAATGCAATGCAATGTTTTAAATTCATTTTTTAATGTTCCTTCCATTCTAGTTAAAAAGTTACTAGTGCTGATTCAACGTAATTGCCTTGCTATAGGTACAGATCCAGAGTATGCCACTTATTATTCTGATTCAGAAAAGAGTAATAATATTACTTTGGTCTTTACTTATACATCTCATCCCCATATCAATAAATCTTTTGATTTTGCTTATAACTAGAGGAGAGAACAATCGAGATTTACTCTCCGGACGGCGTGCACGCCCTAGCGTTGCGAGCGAGCAGTGCTCAGGGCGCGACGGGCTGGCACCGCGCCCTGCACGCCGCCGTGCGCCGGGCGGCGCGGGCCGCGCTCGCCCGCGCCAGGCCTCGCCTGCGCCCGCTACTGGGAGATGTACGGTACGCCGGCTGGCTGGCTAGGCGACCTCCACAGGATCATGTAAGATATCATTTTGCTATTTCGACTATAAAAGTTACAGACACAATTTGGTAGTTTATTTATTGAAAGCAATCTTTAAATCCTTGCAGATGAGTGCATCTGGTGGTTCAGACAGCTCCGACGAGGCAGATGGCTGGCAACCCACTTTTGTTGCTATTACCGACCGCGAAATTAGGTATGTTATGTTTACCAAAATCTTATCTTAATGTGTTATCTACATGGTAGCTTTAGGTCTAGATTCGGGACTGTAGTGTTTGTTGATGACATCATGACCATTACATCATCTATGTTCACTGGGATAACTCTTTGTAAACAGACTTACATAAAATTTTAATTGGGTAGAAGACATGACTGCATGCTATTGGTAAACTTTTTTCGTAATGAAGTCGAAGTCTTTTGAAGATATGTTTCTTACCTCTATCCACCGACTCGAGATTCATGTGATTGTATTTCAGGTTGTACGAGGCAGCACCCTGGTCTGGCGAAGCGTGGTGTGCCCCCGCAGAGTGTTTCGGTTTAGCGGCCACTCGACTGGCATGGTGGCGGCGCGCGGCGGGCGGGGCCGCGGCCCTAGGGCTCCGCGCCGGGACACCGGCCGGCCTCGCCGTGCGGGCGCTTAGGGCTGATACTCCGCACGACCTGGCCGCCGTGGCCGGGGCACTAGTCGACGGAGCGCACCATGCCGTGCGAGCCATGCCTGAGTTTACGTTCCGTGAGTTTTATTTTTATTACTATGTTTGTTGTTAACAACAGCGAGTTAAAGGAAAGAGTAACCTTGTCAGACTAGCATGCGGGTGCTATTTGCAAGCTGCTGGTGGTACTAGAAGAAATAATGAAATATTTGCTGAAATGAATATGTTGGTACCGCAGGCTGTCGTTTCCGCGGCGCGTGCGCGCGCCTGTCGCTGGGCGCGGGCGGCGTGTGCGTGTGGGAGGCGGCGGGGTCGCTGGGCCGCGGCGGCGCGCGCGCCCTCTACCGCCGCCCGCTGCACGCCCTGCGCGCCTCCGCCGACGACGACCGCTCCGCGCTCTGGCTACACTTCGCCGACGACGACACTGTCGTGAGTACTTTCAATGTCATCCTCATTAGCTAGAAGGCGTCCACTAATGTATAAAGACCTCTCCTCACCCTTAGAGGAGCCGGTCTGATATTTTTGTCTAATGAAGTTATATAAGAATGCATGTACCCGCAGGAGCTGGACATGGAGGGCAGCCCGAAGCCTGCAGTGTTCATCCTGCACAACTTGCTGTCGGCGCGCGTGCACTCGCTGGGCGGCGCGGAGCCGACCTCGCCGCCGCTATAGCCCGCGCCCGCGGCCGCGCCCGCCGAGCCCGGGCCACTACATTACGCGGCCTAATCTCTCCTCTCAATTTTCCCTTAGGACTGACGTCGCATCTCTATATTGATCGCGACTGTTATTGTACTACACCCATGAACGTGGCGGAATGCTAAATATTTCAACCCGAATGTTACCTTTTACAGTGGCAGCGAAGAGTTTTACTTCGAATTTTTATGTGATTTTTCACAACTAAATCGTTAAATATGATATGAATTTAATGTGAGAATGCACATAAATACACCACGATTTGTAATGTGAGTCAGCTGTAGGATTCTTTGGAATATCTCTTGTAATTGTAACTATTGTATCACCCTTCCTAGTGTTATGTTAACATGTATAAGAGTAGTAGTTCCCACATAGCATCTTTCTCATCGAATCTCTTGTAACTGACGTATCTGTGATGTTAACAATTTATCATGATCCCTTCATATCTGCCCCGTATCAATAGTAATATTTTGTAACTTATTTAGTGACTGATGTAGTTCATAGAACTATTTTACAATGGAAGCCAGTGATGATTACATATTAAAAGCACCATTTGTCTCACTAATGAAGCCAGTTAAGTGAAGGACTGTTAGTCCTGTTCCAAACGTAACCAAATTCCGTAAGAATGACTTGTACAGACACCGTAACTGTAAATTGACATTGCCAAAGAGTTGAACACGTTACGTTACATACTGGACAATACACGTGACATTGGCTGTAGTAGCGGGTGTCGCCGCGGGTCCGCGAGGGCGCGAGTGTTGCTGCTTCGCTTGTATGTGGCTGTCATTGTTCTTCCAAAGATATCAATTTTTAAATGTTTGTTTTGTTTGATGTTGTAGCTTAATGTAGCGTAGAGAAATGTAATTATCGTTTGAATTGATCATAATGTATTTTTATAATTTCCGTTGTAAATAAATAGGTATACTGTTTTATAAACGGTACATTCCCAGAATGTAGACGATTACATTTGCTTTAATATTTGTAGCGTTTATCTGAAGTAAGGTTAAATTAAGGTTCCAATAATATATGATGTATATTGTGTAGTCACTTGTATCTTGTAAGAGGGCAATATACGAGGTGATAAATATTATTTATTTTGATATCGAATCGTACAGCCTGCGTTGTTATTGGGGAAGCCTCCAATTTTTATCCAAGTACTCATTTATGTACTGCATTATTATCCACGTGAACATTTGTAATCTCGGTAAATTTATCTCAAGATATTTACTTTGTGTAATCTCATAAACATTCCCTATTCGTGATTATTTTACATTCTTAAGAGTAACTTTAAAATATGCTTAATCGATTTTTATGATAAGTACTTACTAAAACACTAATTTGTATTTCACTAAATTACTAAACGAACACTTACTGTAACTCGGGAAACGAACGTATTTACGAAATATATTGTATCTGTTGTTTGATTAGTATTGAGTATCGAATGTTAGGTTGTAAGAGGAGTTGTCCACTTTACGGGGAGTTCAGTTAGAACGTTTGCAAGCGAATTATTATCAGTTACGTTCAATAATTAAAGTTGGTTGTTTTATTTTTAAAATCAAAGAAAGTAACTCCGTAAAGTGATACACATACAATGCAATTTTCAGATGTAAGTTCTATGAAACGACATTTATAATGACGTAGTTACCATGATTTTAACTTATTTAGGCACTGTCGGGAATCTCTGTGCGAACAGTTTCCGTATGTAAAATTAACGCTAAGATACTAATCTTGTAATCTCTTAGAATTTCTACTGGTGACATTCCTTCATATTATGATATTAAACTTCCATTGCGCGGGCGCATAAAGCCGTCGCGACGAATAGACTGTATAGAAGTAATATTGTCTACTGTATTGTTATTTTGTGTGACTACATAGATTGCTACAGGCGAGCCAATTTGTCCAGCCGATTGGTCGATGCAAATTATATTCGAATTTTATTCGATTATAATTATTAGCCATTTGACTGGGGCCTATTGTATCTTTCCTCAGTAGATGGCGCAAATGTAGGAAGTGGTTGTTTTGTCCAATCAAAGTAGCTGTCAAATATTGAACGTCTAATGGTGTTACAATAGCTGATTCCCTATGGGACGAAAATTGCAAGGGTCACATTATCGCCACCTAGTGAGCAAAACTACGGTAGCCCTCATTGACTCAGGTAAAAGGTGATTTGCAGGCTCGTCTAGAAGCAGTAAAGCCTTATTATTTAATTGTATCCCAGATGAGTGATTTTTACAATTTTTTTGTTATTTATTGAATGTTTTAATTAATATATTTTTAAATGAATTCCAGTTATTAATATTATTGGTTTTGCAAGACGTTTTGTTCTGTTGTAGTGTTATATCCTAGTCTTGCACTATAAGACTGAGTTTTATTTTCAAATTATACGTATATTATGTGTTATTGATTGATCAGTGACATAGTATTTCTACACTGTCTATGCAAAACTAGATTATGAGTCATAACAAAATCATAATTAATTAGGTAAACTGTATTCTGTTGTATTTAAGGCAATTGTTATTATACATTCGTGTGGGCTGGGTGTACGAACTACTGTTGCATTGCAGTGCATAATATACTTAAAAGAAGCTGAAAACGACAAAATTAAATATAGTAATTCTTCTATGTTGTAATATTATGCATGTAAAGTACATACGAATATTTCTTGCAACATTTTACAATATGCGCAAACAATGTTACTGTTGTAGTTGTTTGCGCAACTGGTTGCGCAAACAAGAAGTCGTCAGTTTATAAGCAATGTGGAAGATGTGTGGTTTTACCTATTTGCTTGTTCTTTTTGTGTTAGGTGGAACAATAACTTCTTGTGACAACAGTAGTTCGTAAATGTACGCCCATATTCTCGCAACGCTATAGTTGACGTTTTATTTTTATAATTAAGGTTTTTCTAAAATGTGTTTACCTTGCTAGTTGACTTGTTACTTACGACCCATTGGTAGCTATCATAGCGTTCATGATCATGTAGTAAGATCTGTCATTCTGTCATGCATTAAAACAACGAAGAAAATATATTGTTTTTCATTTCGTAAAACTATAATGAATCGCATTGTCATCATCAGTCCACTAAACTCGATCTTCAGCTTACTTATTTGAAAATTTACTCTACGTTGATAGTCTCAGAGTTTTGTCTTAAAAACCTGTATCCAATAATCATATCGGCATACAATACTTCTGCTACTGGTGAAGGGCTTTCTCCAGTGCCTTTCAGATCGATCGATTGGAAGAAATCAGGCTTGCAATGTCCTGTATCTATCCACTCAAAGGACTAAATAGATTGGCTAAACGCCAATGGCAAATAAATACCCCAATGTACCTAACACAGGTTCTACCTAAACATTACTCGTCTCAATAATACAAAGTTTAGTTACAAAATCTCGTAAAATACCAACAAGCACATCTTGAAGACGGCCGCTTTTCTCGTCTAGGCGACAAAGTGCAGGAGAATCGTGTTGTTCCGATGTAGTCTACGTTTCATTAGGTCGAGGGGCTGAGCAAGGGCGCTGGCCGGCGGAGAGCCCTCGCAGCCTACTTCAATACCCGGCTTATTACTATCTATACAATAGCTGTTACTTCACATTATATAACAAAGCATTTTCAACCTTATTTCTTCACCCTAAGAAGGAATACACATTGGCAAGTAAGGCTTAGTATGAATAGTAGTGTCTGCGCTATTGTCTCGCCTTTCTATTGGAAAGCTGACAAAGAAATTAGCTATGTCTGTGTTTAGTACGTAAAACGAATGATTGCTTTCTTTACATTTTACAGAAATGGTGTCAGTTCAAGAAATGAATCATGTTCAAGTACTCAAACGTCACACCATTTCAAGACACTCAAAGAAACTCGTACTTTTTCACTTACATTATAATTTTCGTGAGACATATTAAATTTACTTACTCAGCACGCGTACAGTAGCGACAGTCGCCAAATAGCGGGTCACGGAATGCTGCTCATGAATATGAGCCTCTAGTATGGCTTGAAACTAGTCGAGTTGCTTGTTAAACAATAACATGTGTAAGCCAAAAACATAATAATTAAATTCATACTTGTCTGTCACTACCAAATAGGTTCTTTAGCTCGATGTTTTGGTTGTGCGGGTATGCGGACGGCGAGCAGGGTAGCTCGCCGCCCAACCAGAAACAACCCGTGCGTACGGCGCGCGGCGGGTCGCGTTCCGTGCGCGCCTCAAAGAACCATCAGACTACCACAGAGGGGCCCAGTAGGGTTACTAGGTTTTGGGGCTCGGAGTGCAGGAGTAGGAACGGGGTGGTTTTTAGTCAGTAAGAGTCTGCCACTCCCTCCTGCGTAACCCAAGGCGGGAGAAGTCATTGGTGATTTCCCTATCAAAAAAAGAAAAGCTCAATGTTTAGGTTATGTACCAAAATATTGTCAAAATGAACCTAATAGCTATTTTCACGTCTGTATTTTAACAATGCGGTCCTAGCTAATAGGTACAAAACCAACTGAGCGAGTGGTCTGGAATGACTGGAATATTAATCTACGTATAAAGAAAGACTCACCATTTTTAAAACACTGGAGTATTCGATAGGGGTCGAAACTTTTGACAGATTTGAAAAGTAAAATTGAAATAAATGCTTCAACTTTAATATGAACTATGAAGGCCCGTCACAATGTCAGCCCTTTGTCATGATCTTTTAAAATTCTTTTTATTAAAGATGTTTAAGAAGCTAGTTTAAATACCTAATATTGCTTATTTCTTAGGTATTCTGATGTCTCATGCAAATATCTTGTGACTATCGATATCAAATTTTAACCACCAGGGTATGTACAGTCCTAGACGGTTGTAGGTACTGACGGTAAAAAAATAGTAAAACCACACAATCATTAATTTCTCCAGAGCAAGCCTTTCATAAATAATAAAAGAAATAACAACGATTATTATCCGAACCGCATTTGTGAATTTTGCTTTCATTAATTTTTCGGAATCCCCGACCACTAAAAACGCTTTCACTCAAGAAAACTTCAAAGAAGTGAAAAGCGCAAAGGAGTACTTCACGGAGTGCCGAAGTATAAGTAAGTGTCTTTACAACCGCCTATCTCATAGGGACTAAAATAAACCAGGAAATTCGTGTAACTGCGAAATCTAAGTTAAATAACATCAGCACGACGTTGTGCCATGAATAATTTTCAGGAGATTTGAAGCTGCGATGCCGACGTATCTTGTGTCGCTTTTGCCAAAATGTTGCTCTATATTTTGTTGTAGCTATTCTCTGGAGGACGACAACGTATCTGGTCAGCGCGTTTATCTTATAAACCGGATTTGTCTGGCTTTCATCATTTCTTGATTTTAGAATGTGAAGATAAAACAGTGTGAGATTCGAACAGTTGCGACTTGTGCTCCCTGTATCACTTACCAATTTAACTAGAGACGCCACTATACCACACAAATTTGAAACTTCTTTTTTTTTAATAATCGTGATTTCGTAATATTTATGAGGCAGTCTAGTAGATACACAAAGAAACTTATTACTAGGTGTAGGTATAGCTACACTTACTACGTACGTACCTAATCACCCACGCTGTGTCATAAAGATACAGAAGTTTTCAATTGTCCATAAAAATATTTCTCGGAAGATGGAATAGGCATTTTATTTTCATTGACCTAGACACGTGTATCTAAGATCTTTGTGTTTTATAAGGACAAGTGAACTATAACTAAGTATGTAGTTGAAAAATTAGTTGTAAGAAATTAAGACCATAAAAGTTCATACGTCGATTTCGACGTCAGTAAATAAATACGAAACAGGCAAAAAAAAGATAGCCATGCTTCGGCACGAATGGGCCGGCTCGACTGGAGTTATACCACGGCCTCACAGAAAACCGAGTGTGAGTGAGGTTACCGGAGGCCCAATTACCTTCCCCTTCCCCAATCTCCCCAATCCCTGAATCCCCAACGATCCTCAAACTCCTAATCCCTAAAAAGCCGGTGACGCACTTGTAACGCTTCTGGTTTTTCAGGTGTCCATGGGCGACGCCGATTGCTTACCATCAGGTGATCCGCCTGCTCTCGTTTACCGGCTTATGCCATAAAAAAGTTATCGTAACCAGCGATGATTAGGATAACAGCTGTCACTTGGCTCGCCAATTTATTAATGAAGTACATTTCGTAGGATCGGCTCGACTCTCCAGTACGATTCATTTCGTCGCTATAAATTTAGTTTAAACGTCGTGTACCCTCCTTCCGCATGATTAGCGGATGTCTGCCGGCGACGTTTTCAATTGTGCTGGAATTATCGCACTTTGATATCTAAAGAGTGAAATGAATTATTCTAGATCTAGAATAGACTTCGGGATTGAAGGTTAATCGATCTTAGTAAGTAGGTCCTGGTTGAAAACAATATTCTTTCAAATTAAAAAAAACCGAGTTGTCAAGCTTAAAAACTGTTTTTTTTTGTATTACGGTTGACGTTTTTACTTCAATCCCAAACAGAAAGTTAATGACCGTCATTTCTTTTAAAACTTTCGAACACGAAAGTATAATCATAGGAGGTACTTATAGGTAGTCTATAGTCTACTCGGAACAGTTACACTTACAATCGCTAGAGCAAGGCGGTCTGCAGTTAGTTTGTTCAGTAATTAGTAAACAATATATTTCTTCGGTCGTTACCGTACAATTACTCGCTCGAACTTTGCCAAACAATGGGAAGTTTAACGAGAGCGTTTGGGGAATCATTAGATAAGATGCATGCAGACTTGTTGGCTCCCGTTTTACGTTCTGTTCAGTACACATTGTGTTGGATACTGTTGTGTACTTGCTGGCCATATGTTGTAGTTTAAAGCTGTATATATAATGCATTCTATAGCAAAAGGGGTAGAAAGGACGAAACATTTTGGCAGTTAACAATCTCTATGCTATTATTACTGAATTACAAAAAGCCCGATTACGTGATTAGAAATTCCTTAGACTTGCGACAGCACCACTAAGGTGGTTAGATAAGAATCTATTATAGTAAAAAATGCATTGTAATATTTCACGAGGATCTCTTTTTTACAGTTTCGTATACTTTTAGAAAATTTACCTTTAGAATCAATGTGTGTGAGTGAGTGGCAAAGTATGTAGGTATTCAAAATACATACTTTGCCACTCACGACGAAACAAATCAAAATGTATTTTACGAATTCAAAGACCACGTCCTGAGTTTTCCCGCGGAAAATGATTCACGTAGTTCCGAGCTCACTGTAACTGTACATAGGTCCGTAACGCAGCACAGTAACCGTAGCAGTTCAATGAACTGAAGCGTAATATTTGTAGAATTTACGGCGCCGTAGACGCTACGGACCGCTACGCCGCCGTAGCACATACCGTAGCAAACAATTAATAGTGCATAGTGCTAGCATTATATTTGAAATACGTAGCAACACGATGAAATCGATAAGTAATGAACTGTTGCTTTCCTTTTGACATTCATTTTTAAAAGTACTTTTTAATTGTCTTTGTTTACTAAGAAACTTACTACATTGTCATTTACCTACGTTGCGATTAAAAAGTTATTATTCACTGACAAAATACTATTGTTGTTTTCTATGTATTCTATGTAAAGTACCACTGGGTTTTTTTTTTAAATCTCAGTAGTAGCACGGAGTCTGGAATTGTGCCCGGTATATGGCATTTCATTTCATTTCATTTATTTATTCATGAACAATTATTACATTGTGTTTGAATTTGTACAATACACCTATATTCTAAAAATTATACATGCAATAATTAGCCATTACAATTAATAAAGTTAAATGTCATTCCTTGTACTTGTCAATTCATAATTAATTATAACAAAAATAAAACAATAATACACAAAATATAATAAAATATAGTCATAAAATACCAAAAAAAACACACAACAACAATTCTAATAAATTAAGTTATAATTCGTCAACATGATAAAGACACTTATTTAACAAGAACTGTCTAAGCTTATTCCGAAACTCGCCTTTATAAATAAGACCTTTTATTTCTGCCGGCAGTTTATTAAACTGTCAAACACCAAGCGGTC